CCTGGGAACACCCCTTCACCCATGTCCTAGGCTGCCCAGTGAAGGGTTTAACATGCAAAACCACGCTATGCACAAAACCACAAAAAATATACAAAGCGTCTTTTTTTTTTTTTTTCCCCAGTGGGATCATCTCGCAGAGAAGGGACCAAACTGAAGAACTGGAAAAAGAAGCCAGTGGCAGCAGCCCTGGCACCAGCAAGGAAAACAAAGAGAAAACAATCATCAAACGGCTGTAGGTTCGCCTGTATCTTTTTTTTTTTTTTTCTGGCAGAATATGGGAGAATGGGGCATGCTTCATACTTAGTGAATCCAGGGATGAATTCTGAACTCTGGCCTAGTTGGCTGGATATTGTTTTCTCCTCCTCTCCCTGTAAAATTAAAACCCAATAGAGAAATCCTTTCCTGTGGAAAAAGCACTCTGCAGGAAGGCAACCTCCACCCAGGCAAGCAGGGCATCATTTTTTTCCTAGGAAAAATAATAATTTCAGAACAAAACTGCAATACTTGCCTCCCCTGCAAGCATGTTAAGACTCTGCTGTGGGAACATGCCAGCTGTCCCCAGGGGTGTGTTTACATCGTGTGAAGCAGCTGTATGCAGTAACCACAAGCTCAGGCTGAGTCCCTAAAGTTCCCCAAAATGGCAGAACATTGACACAGCCATCTCACTGCATGTTCCTTCTTTTCCAGTTGTACATTGGTTTTTTGGGTTTTTTTTTAGGTTCTCCTTTAAACACAGAAAATGAGCATCCTCAAGAACGTAACCACTTCTGTTAGAAATGGCACTGATGAGAGCCTCTCACACATTAGGGGAGTCAAGGATTGGAAGGAAAAGCATCACTCTTACTGTAAAGAATGAGCAATCTCATAAATGTGATGTTGTATAATATTCTTTCAGAATATATTTTACTTTGCTTTTTTAGAAACTGTTTTAAGACAGACACTTTTTGTATTTCATAGATTCTTGCCACACACAGAGAATAAATCTTTTATTCTTATTAAAAGAATCTGTGATGATCTGTACTGCAACTTAATTTATCCTGTCCACCTATCAAAATGCTCAGCCCAAACGAGTTTGCAAGATGAAGAAATATTCAAGAGACAGATGCCATTCACAAGTGCATGGACATAGAAGCGCGGGAGAACCCCTTCCGATCGCAGTCCCCCCTGCTCGTCTCTGGAAGGTTATTCTCTTACATGAACATAGAATGGCCTGAAGAAAGCCCCAGCATTGCTTTTTGTTCCGTGTCTTTCTTTGCATTGCAGGGGCGATGCAGAGGCAGCAGCAGGCAGAAGCCTGGCGCACCCGCCCCACCACAGGGAGAGGCAGTTGGGCTGTGACACCAGAACCCCTGCGCACGCAGGAGCCATTTGGGGCTGAGATGAAAGATGGTGGAGAGCACAGCAAGGGGAGAAAAGCTGCTGCGTTGTTTTCTGTCCGCATGAAGGACTGATGGCTTTGCAGACATGCTCAAAGTGGAACACACGCACCAAACATTTTGTTTCTGACAGCTAAAGATCTCCTGTGGTAGACAGTTGTATTTTTCATAAGCTCTGTTCTTTCCATCAACTGTCACAAGCTGTGCGTTAGCCCAAGTAATGAGATTTATCAGTAGAGGAAGCATACAGGGCAAACAGAGGACTAGAAAAGCAGCTTGAAATATACCAATTAGTTTCCACATTTAGAAAAGTAGAATTTCAAGAGCAGAAAAGTCTGAACAGACATAAAAGGAACAGTGGCAGGTATCAAACTATGATCTGACTCTCTTCAGAAGTGAAAGCAGGCTCTGATATATTTTGATTCCCTCTCACACACTATCAGCATGAAAAATGTAGGACACTTCACACATCTGCTCAGATGCAAGATGCAGAAGGTAGAACCGCACCCTCCTTTCAGAGAGAATTTGTTAGCAACTTCATGTTAGCAGGGCAACAGCAACGATATCTGCCTGAAGCAAGCTGGTTTAGCCAGGGCACAGGACTGCTGGAGTCATTTTGCCATCTTCAAAATATGAATAAGCCTTGGCCATGTCCCCAGGACTTATTTTCCAGAGCATGGTAGCAGGGAAGGAAGTTACTACATTTCCTTAGCAGAGGCTTTGTGTTTAGAGGGAGGAAAAAAGAAAAGAAAAAAACCCACCCACCCAAACAATCATGCATCAACAACAGCCAGGATCCACCTCTGAGCTGAAGAGAGATGTTTCTGTGTGCTCTGGGCTCCAGCCACTTCTGGTCTATCCAGGGAGGTATTTTTCAATCTCCTTTAAAAAGGAGGGGGGAGGAGGAACTATGCCCCCAAACACACTGATCGCTACTAAGTCTTAATGAAATAAACTCTACAGATGGAACAGAGCTGCGCAACAGCAACAACCTGCCACGGCAAAGACAGCTGTAACACAGCCCTGGGCCACCCCCTGCAGTTTGTGTAAGGAGACAATAATGAAAGCTGCAATTGTTCTTTTCACTTTACTATTTAAGATGTTCTTTATAAAAAAAAAAAAAAACACCTAACAACAAAATGACAAGGTAGGAGTTCACCAGTTTCAAAGCAGACAGGAGAGCACCTCAACCTTTTTGGGCTAGGCTCTGGAACCATCACAGCTGCCTCCGCTCTGGTGCCAGGGGAGCTGCACAGCTTCTCCCTCAAAAGAGGAACAAATTCCCTGGCTGTGGCTGTACCGAAGAGGCCACAGTCCTGTTAGAGCAACCCCGCTGCCTCTGGCAAAGCCACACCAGCCTGACAAAAGCCCTTCAGCTCCCAAGCCAAGGCAGTGTTCCCTGCCAAGCGCTTTACACCTTGTTAGCCAATGAAACCTTCCTATAAGGCACAGGGATAAAAATCCAAACAGCATGTTTCTGTGAGGAGTATGCTGATATAGATATGCTATATATAATGTCAATTCCTAGAAAAGGAAAGGATACATACTCAGTGCAACATCAGCTTTATTACCATCTTCCGATGCAGTGCTACTTGATTACCAGTTAAGCGCTTCAGAGAAAACAATTTTCTTTTTACGTAAAATAGGGAGAGATCTCCCCCCTCTCGTTTACAAAAGTGATGCTGAAGAACAGAGGTTTTAAGCTATTTGACCTGCTAGAGAACAAGCAAATGTTTAAATAAAAAAAACAAAAAAAAAAAGCATTTTATTCCAATTTTGACTTAAGGGAAGTGCTCTAGTAAAACACAATACTGTACACTGCTGTAGCCTCTGTTACTGAGGCCAGAGGAAAATCAGTGCCAACTCAAAGAAATCAGCCAAAGCAGCTTACCTGTAACTCAGTACATGTAAGGTAACAGGTCTCCAGTTAATTCTTCAGAAATGGTGAAAAGACACAGGCTGTCTCTGGTGAGCTTGCCTTGTGTTATGTAGAAAATAATAAAGCATTTCATGGCTAACAATTTTCACAGCTTTCTTTCAAAATGCTAATGATCTGCAATGGAGACAGGTACTATAGCAGCCACTTCATCAATAATAAATATATTCTTTATTTTACAGAGACATTGTCTTCAAGTTTTTAATTTAAAAAATACATCACTAAGCCACCTCTCTTGCTGCTGGAGCATACAACCAGGATGGTGTTGCTATTTGACCTATCACATAGGCAAGCATATAAGATTGTCCTAGAGGGCATTAGCTGGAACAGCAGCAGCCTTCAAGACACGAGGAACACAGGACGGTAACAGAGCCACAGATCCTTCGCTGACATCTTCCAGCAGCAAGCGTGGCTGATGGCTCACAGCCATTTTCATCTACACACATGCCAAGCCTGCCTTGGCAAAAATTCCAACTGGTAAGAATTCATCTTTAACATAAAGGACCTGCATTGTATTGCCTGCCTATATCACAGATTTGGTTCTCCAACAGTAACGTTACAAACATCCGCAAGATGCCAAGCGCTCAACTCCCATTTAAGACAGTGAGACCAGCCCGTGCTGGACAGACCTACAGGACCAGGCAATAAGGAATCTTCTTTCTTCATTGCATGAACTCCATTACAGTTTGAAGCTGCATATGAAGTCGACTCCTATTTTTGGAACCGCTATGCTCTACTTCAAGCATTCACAGTAAATAAATAGCTTCTGATGTGGCTAATTAGCATAGGAAGGTAATAAAAAATTTTGGAGAGAGCTTTTACTTCTTTAAAATCCTCTGGGAGATACCTCCAAGAATCAGCCATCAGCTATAAAAAGGTACCATCTTAAATTTTAGAAAATAACGTCAAACATTGATTTTCACTGTGAAGTTCTATCTTCACATCTCTAATCAGTATTAACCCAGTCTATCAAAACCCATCCTCGTTTGGCTTACGAGTCATTTCTCTGAAGAAAGCAGCCAATTTGAACATCCATTTCCCTCAGCACCAGTGCATTTAAAGTTCATTGCCAACATAAGATACAACACTGGAAAAACTGGATCCCCACCACAAATTATTTGAGAACGATAGTGGCATCCATCTCAGAGAAGCCCGTCAGCACTGGGGTGTAAGAAAGCAGCCTGACAAGCAGTCACACCGTTGGATGTACGACTCGGAGTACAGAAGTACATCTGCTGTCATAAAGCTAACGCCAAGTTCATTGCCCCACAAAGTGGAGCAAGAGATTTCATTGCAAAAGCAGAAGCACAAGCCAAGTGATTAAGTTTCTGTGCAAGTCTTTGACTGCATGTTCAAGTGGCATTGGTCACTAGGTAGAAGTATTCAACTTTTGGGGAGGATTTCCTTTTATGATAGAAGAGTTTTGGCAATCTAAGATCAATTCTTCAAGCCTGCCTGGAAAACCATAATAGGTATTTAAATATTGCAAAGCAAAAAAGGTCATTTTTAAGGAGCTCAGAACACCATAAGCAGTCCACTGAAAGCTGAGGGAAGTGAGGACAGAAAAAAAGAAATCCACTGACTCCTTGTAGAGCACTCAGTCCAAAAAAAAAAAAAAAACCCCCGGACCCCTTGAAGAGCCCCCAGGCCAAAAAAAAAAAAAACCAACCCCAAACAAAGAAGATGAATTAGTGTTTCAGCCATGGATGAGCTGCAATGGAAGCTTTGCTTCTGTCTCCATAGTCGTACAACAGTTCTTCACCTGCTTTAATGTCTCTGGAAGCTATGAGTATGAGATGAGGAACACCATCAATGTCATGAAGCTTTGTTTGACAATTGCCACATTTGCTGTGATTAATCAGTCTTCCCAGACGATCAGTTTCCTTTGTAGCATCAACACTGAAAGAACAAGAACAGCGTGCAGGATTGCTGCATATCACACAATCACGTTTTTGGACAAAACCCAAAGTGCACATCAGAAAAAGAATGAGGAAGCCACACAAGGCTTGAAAAATGAAGGAAAACCAGAATATTCATACAATTAAACAGACAGCACATAATATGGCAGTGTAGGTAAAGTAAAGCAATTCCAGGAGATTTTTAAGTTAGCACAAAACCCAGAAAAGGGACAACTTTGGACTATGTTTTTGAGCTGCCTGTTTCCATGCAGCTCTCAGCTGTTCATGAAGAATAGCAGAAGCCAGATGTAGGACACCACCAGAAAGGCTTGATGCCTTAAATACCCTCCTCTCAGGAAATCTGTGTCAAAGCTATGTAGTATCCATTGAGTAAGCCAGCAGGAGTCTCTACTCACAGGGAAGGCTAAGAATGCCAAAATACTACATGCCCAGCTTCCAGAGACCTGGATAGTAAAGCTCTAGTGCCCATCCTTGCACAAAGCTATTGTTAGGGCAGCTAGACTGCACGTCAGACACTTAGAATAGAGGGCACCTCAAGGTAATTAATGTACAGGTGAAGCAACTCATGCTCCAGTATCCAGCAATGTCAGCCAAGGAGGAAAGAATGTAGTCTGAGTAGTTGCTTTGAGAGAACTGGAGTTTGGGGCAAAAGAAACAGCAAACAGAGTGATAAAGTATGGGGTGGGTGCCAGGTACTAGGGAAAAGAAACCCAAAGACAGATGAAGGAAATGTTTCTCTTCCAGAGCTTGTGCATACTGCTTTTTGAACAAAATCCTTGCAACTCAGAAGTAGTTAATTTTACAAGACAGGAAATTTAGGCAGAAGTCCATGGCAGAGCTAGAGTCTCATCCAAGCAGATACAACTCTCCATATAGCTTGTGCTGTACTTCAGAGAACAGGGCTCTGCGTCACCTGCCATTCCCTTCAGACCAGAGGTACAGGAGGCTCTTGGATCATGAAAGAGTGCTCCAAAAAGACTTCCTAATTCATGGTTCCCATTTTAAAAAGTTGTAATGAAAACAAGAAAAAAACTTAGCAGCATTCAAAGCCTCTGTCACTGAACTATCACACTTAAGGGAAGAGAAGCTTACCAGTATGTTTTGCTGAGGTACTGAAAATAGTACATATAGCAGCCTGTGGATGGATCTTGAGCATACACAGCTTCTCGCTTTTTAGCATCAGTGATCTCTATGAGATCTCCATGATATTCAACTACAAATTCTCCTCGATTAAAATGTTTAGTAGCGATTACTCCTCTCCCTTTGCCATCGATGTAATCAATCTGTTGAGTTGAAAAGAAACTCAGTTGGGAAATTAGAAAGTATTTACATGACTGCAAATACACTGTTTACTAGGAAATGAGTGATTTGTTGTTAAAAAATGCTACAGCATGGTATTTCTGTGTATTGCAAACAAAGCAGGAGAAACACACCACACTGCACTGTGGAAGAAATACAGTATGAGTTTGGGACATATCCTGAGTTATCAGGTATTTTGATACAGTGTCTTCTAATGAAAGAACTGAGTTACTTTAAATAAACCACACACAGAGAAGAGTCATCTGTTTTTTCTTTTAAACTGCCTATTAGCCAAGGCAGTAAGCTTTTCCACTTCAGGTACACCATCACCATTAGCATGCATGGGTTAAAAAGGCAGAGGAACAGAAACATCAATCACAGAAATTGCATTGATCACCCACCAGTATATTATATTATATATATAATATATATATTATTCCTGCCTCTCCCTGCAAACTGGACAACTCCAAGAAAGTTCTGTCACTGTCATACATGTGACAGTGTTAGCTGCAGGCTGCTGCTGGTCAAGAAATCACAGCTCCTCTGCACTTCCAGGAGCCTTTGCTGCTTTAAATTCTAAAAAGGGTGATCTGAGCAACCTAAATGGGAAGCACTTGGTCCCAATAACCAGCATTTGCTAGCAATGGGAGGAAAACCAGGACAAGCCATTGTCCCAGGTGCCACAGTGAACACCCACAGTCCCTTGCTGTAAGCAGGCTGAGACAATCTGTTACCGTACCGACAGTATATATGGGTGACACCTTTTAAACAGGTGACAATCGAGGTGCTGCATCTCACCCTGTTTCTGTAAGCTAACCCAAGAAGTGAGATACTAAAGGGAACAAGTGTGTTTCCAGTAAAGACTATATTGAGGGGGATTTATGTCTGAGGCTGCATGTACATATTTTTCAGAGCCAAATATTGCCCATCCAAAAGGAAAGACAATGTGCTGCACTTTCATCTTACTATCAAGGAACTGCAGCAGTTCTGAGACTGAGCTCTGCTAGTTTCTGCTTAAACACATTAACAGCAAGATACTGTATGAACAGTACATGGCTACTCGGGCTGCTATTGCCGTTACCTTCATTCCTTCTTCTTTCCCACTTGTAATTAGCTCATCTATTTTCCTCCTCTCCTCAGTCTGCAGAAGAAACAAGAACAAAACCACTGTACTGTTGATAGTTTTTATAGCTTATTCTATAGCTGAAAGGAAATTATTAGCCCGTGATACTCATTTTTCCAAACCATCCCATGTTTCTAGCAAAACTGAATGGTAAAGAGACAGATGTTTGCCCCCAAAATATATGTAAGCAGCTAGATTCTGTCCTAAAAGAACTGAATGAGCATTTCCAAATTTTAAGCATGTTCTTAACAGTCCTTCCAGTGCACAATGCTATTTGTATTTGGCTAGTGGAAACCATTTACAGATAGTCACACACTTCCTCAAAAGCTCAATTAACAGGCAACATTGTAAGTAACGTTATTTTAACAAGCAGTACTACCTCCAATTCCGATTTGCTCTTCCTGGAACTTCTTCTAACTGGGTAATAATCTGTCACTTTTCGATTTGGTGTTCTTCCTTGCGTTCTAAGGGATAAGAAAAATAGAGAACACATATTTCAGACTATTTGGGAAGTTGCACCTCTACGACAGAGGTATCTGTAGGAAATTTTCATTTTCAGGTTGGTATGTTGAAGGTGATCAATGTGAATCAGTGTTTCTTATCAGCACGCTTCACTCCAAGTCAAAAGCTAGATCCCCTTTCCATTCCTCTAGTACTAATTCTT